CCGTAAGCAATTGCTTCTCGTCCTTGCCGAACCCGGTCTGCCAAAGCACGTCGACCGAAAGGATCAAACCATCGACGGCGAATCAGTCGGTATCACAGGCAGCCATCGCAGACACGCTTGTCAAGCACAATTGCCATCACAACTGTTGCGCGGTTGCTTGGCACGCCACTGTGTCTTCCTCTTCCCCTCTCATCGTCTGTATCTTCATTTTCTTCCCTCTTGCTCACTCGCATGTATATGATCAAGTATTTCCCCCATTCCCCTAATATGGTAGTCAAGTAGATCATGTTCTGCAGGGTGGAGAACCCTCACTCCGCGCAAGGGGGATGATCGCACCACGTTGTGTTTAATTGGTCAAGCACCCTCGAGGCAGTTACACAGTGCTCTTAACTGTCCCTGGAAGTGAAGCGCCAGAAAATATATTAAGTCACAGCTGTCATCCGTACGCAAGGAAGTAAGCACAAGATGCCGAACACCCTTAGCAGGATGCAGCGCACCCTTCATGCGACTCGCCGAATATCTCACGGCGCTTCGCGCTTGGTGATGTGAGAGCCTGGTCCGGTGAGAACCCGGCGTGCTCCGTCCCGGCTTTGTAGGGATGCGAGGTCAATGGTCTAACGACTACGGCATGCACGACTGTGAGTACCCCCCCCCCCCCCGGTGTTTGGCATCGGGATTGAGTTTTCGTCGCTTGGCATCGACGTTCTAATACACGCCAATTCACTTCGAGAGCTCGGCAATCAGGGTACCGCTTTTGATTGCCTTATTTGTTTTTACGCTAATCATGAGGAATGGTGGTCGAGTAGATTATGTTGTGCGGGGTCGAGAACCTCACTCCGCGCAAGGGGGATGATCGCACCACGTTGTGTTAAAATGGTCAAGCACCCTCGAGGCAGTTACACAGTGCTAATAACTGTCTCTGGAAGTGCAAGCACCAGAAAAGAAACTAAATCATATGTAGCTGTCATCCGTATGCAAGGAAGTAAGCACAAGATGCCGAACACCCTTAGCAGGATGCATCGCACCCTTCATGCGACTGGCCGAACGCCTCACGGCGCTTCGCGCTTGGTGAGGTGAGAGCCTGGTCCGGTGAAAACCCGGCGTGCTCCTTCCCGGCTTTGTAGGGATGCGAGGCCAATGGTCTAACGACTACGGCATGCACGACCATGAGTACACCCCCCCATCCCCCACTGTCTCTCTCTCCCTCCTCCGCACCCTCCATATTCGTAGCCGACGCCGGTCTATCCGCGTGATAGCAACCACGAAAATCATCGAACCCAATACTTATGGCTAAACGTGATATTTCTGCTTGTTTACTCCGAGAACCACCAGGGTGCCATACCCCGACCATACCCTTACCTCCGGTTTTCCACCTGCCGCTCCAACACACGTCCTCGACCGTGCCCATTCCTCGACCATATCTGTCCAAGCCGACACATAGGGCAAGGATCGCGGCTACAAAAGAAGGCGTACCTTCTTGGTAAACTTCATGTACCCCACCCTCGACAGTTGGTGCTCCACCATCTTAGCCTCCGCCTCAAGAGTCCGTACGATCTCTCGAGCCTTTTTTTAAGCCGACGGGGCGGGCAAAAATGGGAATACGATTGAACAGTGCCTAAGTACAGCCTGTTCGATGAAGCTTTGAGTGAAATCAAGGGCAGGGTGACACGTGCGAGTGCCAGGACATGACGTACACTACGTCCTGAGCCTTAAGCTGTGTAGCCGTTTAAGGGGCAGCGGCGAGGACTTGCTCGAAGGCAGTGAGTTGTTCGCGCCGTCAGTTGTAAGGTTTGGGTTTGGGATGAAATGAGAGCCCCTTTCCGTCCCGCAGCCTTCGCAAGTAGCATTGGTCTACCATAGGACCACATGTTGCATTCTTTGGTTGTCGTTGTGGGCAAGCAGGCATACGGCAAACAATTGACCCGCTAGCGTTCAAAGAGTTCAACGACAACGCCACCTCGCTTAAAGTCAACAATATCTGCTACTTTTTCCAAAACGTGGTATTCTCGCCTATTCCTTTTTTGTCATCAATGAAGTTATGCACGATTCATGCACTAGTATACACAGCTGTACCTCCTTTACGTCTTCATCTTCTTCCAGTAGCCCGCACAGCAGCCATGCTTTCACTTCCTCAGATGTCACCTATAGGAGCCGCACAATCGCGCCCACATCCAGCATCAGGATGGGTGCATCGACCGGTGCAAGCACTGCACAAGGCAAGCGTTCGTCTTTGGGCGGGTGGGCACTTCGTTCTGGTTGGACTGTGCTCACTTCGCCGGATTTTCCACTTCATCCCCCGGCGTGGAGCTTCGAATAATATACCTTCCGTGCTTTCATGTGTGTTTGCAGCTGTGGAAGCCTGTTTTAACGGGCCCGGCACACCCAAGCAAGTCGTCCCGCAGGGTTTTCCCGCGCCCATCTCTTAGACCATAGTTGTGCTACATGCACTACGATTGCCAGATCCGTGTGTACCTCGATCTTCTCGTTGTTTGTGTTGAGCGGCACGTTGAAGATCATGATCTGCACGTCTCCGTAGTACGTAGGGTCTCTCGAGCGGTCAATCACCTTGATAGGTTTGATTGACACATCGGAATAGTACAGCAGCGCGGCAAAATTACAAGATCTTGTCACCTCAAATAGTTGATGATACTGAGAGTTCGAATATATCCTTTGTGACACCAGGCTAGTGAGTTTGAGCATGGAGCGATATGCAGTGAACCCTTCGACAACAAACCCACTGCTGTGCGGAATTAGTGTTCACAACATCTTCCTCAATCACGTTCGCACCAACGTTTGGTTTCTTCGAAGACACACGGCATATGTGATTGGTACCACCGGCAGAAGGTGTCGAAAATAGAAAAATATTGAAGCATCCTATGGAGCACACCGAGCACCAGGTATACGCAAAGGTCGACCGAATGATAACACTGATGACATGACAACTACCATGCATATCCACGACAAAGGCGACACATCAAGACAAGCATCTCGCCTCTTTCTCTTCCATGGCGACGACGGCGTAGTTCCAAGGCAATGGATGGCAGTGCATCTGGGCATCCGGCGGCCATACGATGTCCCCCGTGGTCTGGTCCTTGAGGTACTCGATCTAAAAATCACGAACGAGGTACGGACAAACAACAACAGAAGTGTGAACATGCGAGCGAAAGCTCCATCCGCTCTTTCGTCCCCAGCCCCACCAAGTCATGCCTCACTTTTCACGGTGTCCTGCTGTACCCGTGTTGTTTGTCACATCCATCCCTACCATGCTACGGCGCACGATGCGACTTCCCCGTCAAAAGATCACCTTGACGTGTTCCGGGCAGGTCAAGCACATGCTCCGCAGCACGACCTCGGTGAGGCGGCGTCGAGGGACTTTCCATGCGCATCCTTGGATCGGCTCACCGTCCTTGTCCATGCAAGCGATCTGGATTTTCTCGTTCCACCTATGGGTTGTTTTGTGAGGGTTTGGGGATGACAAACAGGCTGGCTGGCAACATTACACGGTTCCATGACATCACGGCGAGCTGGAGCCTTCCTTGGTTTGTGGAGAATCTGGGAAGATAAGAGGCGAGGACGAAAGCCAAGCCTTCACGAACGGTACCTACACGAATGGCCCCATCTTCTTGCGTACCATTGCATTTACACGGTAGACTACAGTACCAGATTATCGTAGAATCGAGGTGTAGTCTATTTCATGCGTAGACCACAGCAGTAGTCATCTTTCCATATCTGCGATGAAGACATGCATGCACGCCGGAGTGCCTACAAAGAGCTGCAACAATAGGGCAGTGGCCACACGCCTGCCTACGCCCCTTTACTGCCTAAGCTCTCTCGAGCTCACGCTCTCTCACCAGGCTTTTTTGCGCGAAGCATCTCTCTCGAGCGTCTTGAGAGATAAACCGGGTGTCTTTATTTTTGAACGCCTCGCCTCGATTGCCTCGCGGATAGCCGCCGTACCCTCCGAGACCGACATGATTGCTTCTTCGCGTCTTCTAGCAAGCCTGTATCGCACCTTCTATGCGCACACCTCCTTTCTGGCTATGTCTTTGTCCAGTGAGCCAGCAGTCAATCTGTTGTTGTTAATCTGGGCGTTCATCATTCGCAGGAACGCAACCAAGCAGCCATATCCATGGCTGCTTAGCAGCCATGGATATTGGATCCCGGATCCCATCAGGTTCCGCCGCGTTTTTGGTTAATTCCGCCGCATCCGCCTTCCTTCCGTTCACACGTGCGTCGTACACCCTCATAGGATGGGCTCACGACGCCGTCTGCATCCTGCTGCAGGTGCTGCAGGAGCTTTTCTCTGCCTGGGTGCTGGGGTTGCTGTCATAGCTCCAGGCGATGCGGACTCTGAGACTAAGCGGCGCATCTCTACGCGAGCGTCAAAGCTAAGAGGTGAGGTGCTGCTGACGGCCCTGTCCCAGCGATTGCACCCCGCTCGGCGGACGGAGGACGGAGCGGGCCCAACATCAGTCCCCCAAGCAGCAGCACCTACAGAGACGTCGATCCATCGATTCTATGTGGTGACTGGCCCCGATGCACACTTGACGTCGACCGCGAGAGAACGTTGGTCGCACACACTCGTTGGCAGAGGCAGCATTGGTGTCCCAGGAGCGCACTCCATGTGGGACAGCGAACGAACCGCCGCCGCCGACGACAACACGGGTATCGCTGGCACTTTGTCGCCATGGCCTGCTGTACGGCTTGGTGTGCCTTACGACTGTGCGCTCGGGACGGGCCAGTTTTCGTCGTTGGTAGACCAACAGCTTGTGTGGCCGCAACATGCGTCGCCTGTTGACCATGGTGGCCGCAGTGGTGGGGAATCTTCATCAGTGCGCACCGCCACTGCTGTACCGCAACGGGGCATAGAGGTTGAACGACAACACGAACGACAGCAGTCGCCCTACAGCAGCACGGCATGGGACACGGCAGGTGATGACGTTGAACGTGACAAGGAACATGACTTGCTGTTGGCAACACCACCAACAACAGCAGCACGAATGACGCCAACCCCAGTAGTGGTCTCTACCTGGGACTCCGTGGTGCTCTGGGCGACACAGGCCGTGCTGGATGGCGAGCAGCTCGATACTGTTGCTCTTTCGGCCTTGGAGCAGGCCCTTGCCGGTGATCCCTGCACCACCAGCGGCGAAATCTGTCCCTCACCAGCAGACGCTTCCTCTACGCGTAGCAACGACAACAACGACGACAGTCCCCAGGACGCCCAGTCACCCGCTTCCGACGTATCCCCGTCAAACATGGCCGCAAGCACCGCCAACGGGAGGCGCAGCTTCCTTCTGGATATAGGATGCCCACCATCGCAAGAGCTCGGAGAAGGGAAAAATGCAACGGTAGTCGCAGAATGGGCGGCGGCGGTGGAGGGGGGACGGACCGACGGGTCAGAACCCGGAGCATTGCTGTGTGTCGATTTGGCGAGGTGGGGATGGAAGCTGGCATGCCGCGGTCTTGGAAACGTAATGATCAGGTGGGTTATTACCTGCTTTTCGTGTCTTGCTTTTCGACTCCCTTGTGGTGTCACCCCAAACTGCCACGCTCATTTGAAGCGGTCACCTCGTCGACATCAACCCCGGCTCCTTGTCTCCTTCGCCGCTGAGCAACTCCGACCCATTAATTGTTGGATTGTTGAACTGCAACGCGATATATGGTGCCTGTGAGGCTCTGTATGTCAAGGAAAGGGGTTGCGATGAAGTCGAGGGCCTCTGAGAATGAGAGCTGGATGCGAATTGCCACACAAGCAACAGGAAAGTCACAACGAACATGAAGTTATCGTCTCCGTATCAATGTCATTAATCGAGAGTGTCCCTTCCCAGGAGGAATGGCGGTACCGGTTGCGTGTGCGGAGCTTTGATTCCCGTAGACAACTGCCCCAGCCTCTGGACACAGGACGGTGGTGTCTGTGCGAAATCCGAGCTGTTCATACAATTGCGCGTCTTTTGTGAAGTCTCGAAATGAAATCTGCCGTAAAGCCTCCCTTTTTGCAGTCATGGTCTGCGATAGCTATCGCGGAAAGAGCAAGACCATAGAAACCCTTCACCCTACGCATCATCACGCGGTTGCAAGTGGAAACGCGATGGTTGTGTATGCGGATGGAGTAGGTGTGAACGACCTTCTGCGGCACGTTGGCATCTAAACCCAGGCCGGGGTGGAAAGTGACAGTCTTTCAAAACAGGCATCAAGTTCATCCAACGAGCTGTGTTTGTCCAGTGCACCGGTAGCACGGCTTCTACAACACTATTTTCCTCTTCTGACTCTTTGCTTCATGGTCGACGTTCATCCCCCGGTGGGTGCAATCCGGTTTCAGTTCGTCGAATCCCTGGGTGCTCGCAGACCTACAGCAAGCTCTGCAGCAAGCCCTTCCTGAGCGCGACGGGCTTTCCGAGAAGGATTATGAGAAAACTTACGATCAGCAGGATTCTTCGGGCGAAGTGGTGGTTGTGAGAGTGGCTCTCCCGTCAGCTACGCAGAGGGAGCAGGTCAGAACAACGCTGTTCGCATCCACTTTTGACGGCCACCAATAAAGCGAGTTTCATATATGTAGCTGCCCCACGTGACGAATGTGATGGCTGTTGAGCCCTGAGTCCCCCCGCCCCCCACCCTTGCAACCCCAGGAAGTTATTGCCGTTGCTCGAGAAGTCGAGCTCCACCACCAGCTGTCGGTCGCGGACGTTTCGATGCTCGCGGAGCTTACGGGAGGTAGACGCGCGGGGCTCCTGGATATTCTCAAGAGAGTGAAACAAAGCTCTTCCGCAGGTGGGTTCAAGCGCTAGACCCCGGAAGTTTTTGTTCCGGAATGCTTAAGGGAGTTCATTCGTCTGGAAAGCGAAGGTTGGGACTAGGACTGAGACTCGGCCTTCGAAGAGGATTCCTAACAGACCATGCACGACCGTATCACGGGGCCCCGGTCAACCCTACTCTCACAAGGGTGCGGTAGGCGATACGCACCGCGGTGTCGTGCGGGCAAAGTCACCGGGTTTGCACGCCGAGCTTCACTTTGACAAGATTGGCCAAACATAGTACAACAAACACTTCATGCCGCTCCACGCTTGGTTGGTGCCGTCAAGACCTGCCTTGCGACAAAGCCCCCCACGTGGATCGTCCCGCCTTTCTACATAGGGATGCGAATACCACGGCCGAGCACGACATTCCGATCGCTTCGGGATGACTTTATATCGCGCATGCCCCGCCCGCCCTTCCTCGCCCTGCCCATCTCCCCGATGGTCCACACCGCAGTCACCATCGCCGAGGCGTGCCGAGCCACGGTGGACGGCGAAGCCTCAGCCCTAGCGGCCACCTGGGGGCTACTCCCACGCGACGGCGCGTCCGGAGCGGCGGGGGAAGCGGAGAAGAGTCGAGAGGAATGGTCACCCCTGTGGGAGGCGATGGGGATGCTGAGTGTTCCGTCCGTCGTAGTCGGCGCCGCCGCGGCCGGTGGGTGGTGTCTCGGTTCTGGCTACCCTCCGGATATCGTGCCTACGTACATACTTCGGAAGTATCCTGTTTTTCTGTCTTGGGCTTTCGTCTCCGTGTCGATTCGGGCCGTGCAGGGAACGAAGGTTCGTTGTCTGTTAGCTGTTCTGGGCGTGTGCTTAGAAGATCTGGTGTATGTTGTGGTGCAAAGAATATCATCTGTGGAAACAAGGTGACATTGACGAGGAGGATGCAGGGGCATGGTGGGCGAAGTGGATATATGCGACGCCAGTCTCGACGACTAGTCGGGGATTGAAGGTACACGGTTCATATGAGACCCTTTCATACCTATTTCAAGCGTCCAGTCGGAACAGCGGCCCAATACACGCCCCCTCCTCGCATCAATCCCGACCGATGGTAGCCTCAAGATCGTCGCGAACCGCATTCCTTGCACCAGGGGCTGCGCCGGCTGCGCCCCCTCCCCCCGGCAGCGCGCACCCGGCCCAACTGTTGGAAGAGTGCTCCATGGACGGGGCAACGCTGCTGCGTCTAACGAAAGAGGGCTGGTTGGAGCTATCCCCGGCGGCACCCCCCGGGTGAGAGAGAGTCGGAGGGCGCCTCGCACCGCCAACGACGGTCTCGTGGCTTATGTTATTTGTTTCGATATCTGTCCTGTGTATCAAAGCACGGCGGTCTTGCTGTGCATAGAGCGGCAAACGCGACCAAGCCTGCCCCTGCGGGTGGAGGTGAGCGAGGTCGACGTTTCTCCGGCGGCGCGGCCCGCCCGAGGGACCGAGACGCAATAGTATTTATCCTTGAGACATATTTCGGGTTTATGAGCAACACACTGTGCTTGCGTGTTTTCAGACGGGAAGCGTTTCACTTACCCCACGTTCACGCTGCTGGAACAGGATCCAGGCAGAATCTTCATGATGGGAACGCACCACGGAAGCCTCTGATCGGTTGATATTGGCCGCTTCGGAGAAGTTTCGATGCTTGTTTCGAGTTTTCAATGACGATCGAAACTTTTGTTTTCAGTTGAAAGTCGCAATTTTCAGAACATTTTTCCCGCTCGACCAAATGGTGGGTCCACCCGAAGGAGATTCTAGCCTGTCTCGACCTTGTTGCCTTCCCCTCTCCTCACAATCTGCCGTTCCCTAGCTCCGGGACCATTCTCGAAGACCTGGGGCCTCACAGCCCCTTGGCAGGAGCCGAGCACGACTCACGGCCACTGCCGCCTCTGCACGGTGGCATTCCTCGGAGCCCACCCTTAACCGTCCACGCGGCCATCGTCCCGCTGGAATCCCTGTCTCGCGGGGTTGACCGGAGCTTCGTCGGGGCGCCGCCCCTGCGGCTCGCGGCGTTCCGCCGGCTGCTCGACCGCCGTCCGTCGACGACGCTACCCGAAACCAGCCCGGGGGCAGGAAACGACGCTGGGCACCAGGGGAGTGAAGGGGCAGCGGTGTCTGCGGGGATAGGGGATGGTGGGGGCGATCTACAGCATGTCGGAGAAGGCAGCAATAGCAACAGGGATAGTCGAGCAGGATCGAAGCTGGCCTTAGGGGGCGGTTTTTTGGGAGGAGGAGAGATTGGGCCGGCCGTGCAGGGGGAGAGCATCGGGGATTGGAACGGGGTGGGACTGCAGCGCGCGGGGGGCAGTCAAGAGCTAGAGCGGGCGGGCTGTCTCATCGAGGTGAGTAGCCGTGAGGCCATTTGTTGGTTGATGGTTGATGCACGCCTTTTTTTGTCGCTGGTCAGTTGTTGAAGGAAGCCGACCTATGTATCTCGAGTCTCTGTCAAGCGTTTCATGGGGCATCGCAACCACACTACATTTAGGTCCAGGCGCGCGCCAAGCTCCAGTCCAACCATGTGCCCGAAAGAAAGCAGCTTGGCTGTCAATGGCCACGACTACACCCTTCCGCCCGCCCACCCGCCGGCCCCCTCTTGCTGAGACTTTTCAGCGAACCCCGTGCCGGCTAAGCACGTGCGAGGACCGGACGCGATAGCGCATGAACATTAGGACGTTGAATACCTCTACACTGATCGCGCATTTGTAACTGTGAAAAGAGAGAAACATCCACACCGTCACCATTCCAACGCCGATATATTCTGTTCTACTGGTGCAGGCAGGGGTTCTGGGTAGACAACACAGCCGGGAGGAGGCCAAGCTCTCGGAAGACCGCGAGGCCCTGTCTACGAATTGGGCCGAGCTCGGCACGTACGTCGCAAAACCATGTGTCTCGCGAAGCATGCCCGCATCCCCTTGATAGCCCAAACCAAGTTTTCGTATCTTTTCGATGAGCACCCTTATTTTGAAGCCGTCATCATCCCACACCGCATTTCCATTTCTTTCCTCCTGTTTCCGCCCGAAATGGGAGAATCATCTACGGCTCAAAAACGCTTACGAGAGAGCTGTCGCCCCGGAGCAAGCACGTCGACAAATTCTTCGAGGCGTTGCCCACGATTCCTTTTCTTGGGTAAAGCAGGAGCAGATGGCATTTTCCTAGCAGTCAAGCCTGGCGTGGTGGGACCCATTTTTCAAATCTTGTGTTTTCCAAACATTTTTTGGGCTTTTGCCAGTATGTGTAACCCCCCATGCCGAAATTCCAGGGTGCGGCATGATCTCGAGAAGGAGGGAAAAAACGACGACACTTCGGACGGAGAGTGGGCCGAGATGCAGCTTGAGCTCATCCGTCAGGTAGGCTGCGCATATATCGATTGCTCATGATGACGTTTACGATCCGTATCAGTGTTGGTTGATATGTTCGGCACTGTTCTGGATACTACACTCGCGAAGAACGATTTCGTGCAATATAAGCGGTTTTCCCTTGGCTCGCGGGTGTGATAATATTGTAGCCAGCCCATTTACTTCGTTGGCATGTTGTATTTTCCCTCCACACAAAGACGCCCAAGCTGCTGCTGGTATCTACAGCTTGGGAATCGTCTTCACCATACCCACAAGAGAGAGAGAACAGTTAGCTCTAAACTATGAGACCTTTGTGTTCGAGACAAAAAAAACGAGATTTCCTGGAATCTGTCTTGGGTAGTGGACAGAAAAACAAACCCAGAAAAAAATCGACTATTGTACCATTCAATTTAGTTGGAACTTCTAAGCATTTCATATTTTTTTGTTTTGGAAACGACATCAGTTAAACAGCACATTTCGTGTCCTTTTTTGCTTTTCCAGGAGAGGGCTGTCGTAGCAAGGGCTAACGAGATGCGAGCGAGGCGCGCGAGACTGGACACCCTGAGGCGCGACATCATTGACCTGGAGAAACACGCCGGACTGACACCAACATTGTCCCCAGGAAATTCTCGAGAGCATCGCCAACACCAAGACAAGTTCCTTGTGCCGTCACAGCCGGTCCCAGAAGAAGCAGAGTCGGTCGCTCTTATGCCTTCTCGTTCCCGGGCCGGGGTGGGCGACGAGGAGCCGTCGTGGGCGGCAGAATTTGTTGAGGAGGAGGTTATCCGGGATGCGGAAACGGGTGTCCGCTTGATGCCTCTTCTTCCGACGCATAAGAATAGCGAACAGGACGGCGGTTACAGCAGTTTCATGTCGGCAAGTGGCGCTGTTGGAGGCAGTGACGGCGGTGGCAGTGGTAGTGGTGGGGGTGATGATGCGAAGGTACGGGGCTATGGGTTTGGGAGGTTGTGGAGATGGGTGCGTGGGTCCCGGTGAGGAAACCGGGAGCGGAGGAGGAGGGCCTCGCGAACCTTCGCTGGGTTTGCTATTCTCTGGATTCGGCTGGACCTCACGACAAGAGTGGCTGACCGACAGAGAATTTCATGCGATCACGTGATTCCCGATTTGACGCGAGCCTCTTAGAATGGATTTTTGACGACAAAGGTGGAACGAAAAAACAAGAACATTGGCACTGTACAAAGGCCAAAACCGACGACCCTTTCTTGTCTACAAGTTGCTTGGTAGTGGATTATCTTGCCACAACCTGCTGGTTTCGGGTGTGCATTTCGAACTTTTTTTTTGCGCTTGGCTCGGTCCACCGAAGGAGAGAGAAAGAGAGACAAAGAGGGAGACACAGAACAGACAGACAGGTAGCGACAGACCCTGTCGTTCATTGTTATTTTGCTCTCTCTGTCACGATTGGGAAGAGTCTAAATGAGTGCGACCGTGGTAAGTGCAATCGGCAGCTATCCATATACCAACAAAACGCGCCACCGCACTCTTTGGACCAAGGCAAGAGGGAGACGAGGGAGGGGTGACCAAGGATTTCCCACTTGTGACAACATTTCGAGTTTTGACAAGGCTCTCTCACAAAATCACGCGGCCTCGCCCTAATAGTACTCTGAGGTACAATGTTCGGCAACGCTTGTGAAATCTGCACAGTTACCCCTGATGAAATCCGCATTACGTCTGAGTCCGATATGCAATTTCAAACCTAACGTATAAGGCTTCACTACACGCAACAAAAGAAACACACAAGTCGTAGCTATTTTGTAGGCTTTTGAGCACGAGACGTTGTCGAAAACGATTGCCTGGATTGGGTAGACTAAATCTACAGAAGCAACCATAGGCGACGAGGTGACTACTCTATAAGCTACGTGCTGCAGCTCTTTGTTCCTGGTCGTGCTCGCGACATGGACGGAATCGTATGTGCATCCTGAACCTCTTGCAACCTCGCCTCGGAGATGTCTTGCTGCATTTGCGACACCTCTTGTTGGATTTGCTGGGCCTGTGCAATATGGCAAGAGGGAGAAAATACGAGGCGGAGGCTATTTAGTGTCGCCCACGAGTCAAGATGCGATGGGGGAAGGAATGTCGAGCAACGGATTGCACATTCGCCTCGCAGGACAGGGGCGGTTTCGAGTCCCGCCTCCTCGACTTGATTGGAACACCGGCACCTACTGTAACACCGCCACGCCCTGGTTCTCCTTGGGTCATGTTGATGATTCCGAAAATGTCTCCTAGAAAAGGCAATTTCTTCACGAAGGGACCGGCATGGGCTTCTTGCCGAGGCAAGGCAAATTAAATTTCAAGCCGAAATGTCCAATGTTCCCTCGGACCTCATCAAAGAACCCCCCCTTCCCCCATGTGCCAAAAACTCTTCAGATCATGATTTCAGAAGATGTTTCCACGTTCGTTGCCCACCTTTAGTTTCATTTTTTCCTGCACTAGACGGTGACCTTCGTCAAAGATGCCTCGGACGTCTGCTATCGGTGCGGAGCGATGGCGAGTGGCAGCCCATGCCGCCGCCGATCTCTCTTGCTCTTCCTTAAGGGACATTTTGAGTTGTTTTACCTCCGCGTATGCAACTGTGAGGACAAGGGGCCATGGAAAAAGTATGAACGAATAAGCTGATTTTAAACGCTATGAGAATACCCTTTTCACCAGCGGAGGTAGTTTTGCTCTTGTTGCAATGTGGCGGGGAATTGCCAAGCGTGTCTGACTTTGGTCGGCCTTGCTAGGTTGAAAGGTGAGCGTGAGCCTTAGGGGCACGCTCCACCCTCCGGTTGGTCACAGCAGATGGAGGGTCTTTTCGACCTCGAGAGTGTCGTTCGTATGCGGGGCCACGGATCTTTACGGTTGTATGTGCGTCCCTACCACTGAGAAGATACCTATATCCTGGTTCCACAGCTAGACGAAAATTGAGGTAAGGTACACAAAGACGACAGCAACGAATATCACAGCAACCAAGACAAACCGATACCGACAGCAGCGCCCACAGCTCCCTGATCAACACTGACACCGGTTTTGCAAACAACAACAAGAGCACACACGGTTAGCCAATCAAGCCAAAATCACCTCTCTTCGTACCTGCCAGGCGAGCCCTTGTCTCGCTAGTCTCCTTGCGCGCCTTGAGCAGATCCTCCTTCCCAAAAGTCCTCTCCATCTCGCCGGCCTCCTTCTCCTTGACTCGAGCGTCCGCAGACACCCTGCGGGCTCGCTGCCGACTAGCGTCCAGCAGCGCTTCTTGCAGCTGACATTGCATGGGGTCGCAACGACGATGGGGGTTATCGAATGCTTGGAGGTTTGACATGGCCTCTTCGCTAGGGAGTGGTCTCGCGTTACTCTAGCCAAGTCAACCGTCGGGCGAACAACAAATACAAGATGATTACGAAACTCGTGTGGTCATTACACCTTCAAGAGACGTAGTGTTTATATCTGACAACAGCCACGCGTGGAGCGAGGTTGGTAGGAGAGTGGGTAAAGCCGTACAGCAGTATTTGCGGAAGATGGAAAAGGAGGGGACCAAAACGTTGAAGCCGTCTGCATTGTCGGTACGCAAGTGGAGAGGATGTTGCAGCGAGTTCTGGATCCTCACCGCGGATGCCGGGGCCGAGATCGAGAGACAGTGGAAGCTTGTCGTAAAACATGCTACTGTGCCCCACGCATTCTCACCTGTACCCTGAGATCTCTAACAGCATCTAAAGCCCTCGCCCCTTCCGCAGCAGCGTGAAGGCCCTTTCGGTCAAGTCGAACCAAGTGATGGATAGGGGGTGGGAGGTGTGTCAGGGTAGGGTTGAAGGCTCTCAAAAGCTCCAACAAGCTTATATCAGTGGTAGACAACAACCAATAGCCTTACAGCTACACCACCACACCTCGACCGAAAGGAATCCTGTGGCCGCCTTCTCGGCCCGGTCGCGCAATACCGACACCATCGCATGGAATTCTCCGTCTGGCACGCCGCGCACAAATCCCATGCTCGCAAGGCACTCCTTGAGAATCTGCGTAACGTTGGCGGCATCGAGAAGGCGATTCAATGTCGATGGCCTCAAGTCAGAGAGGAGCGGTTTTCTCCTGCAAGGGTCGGTATGCGCGTGCCGTGCCTCGGGCCGCACTTGCTTCGTTCACGTATGAGAGGTGAGAAATTACGGTGGAACACGCCAAGGCGTCACTATGTGATATTAAGCCGTATTCTTTATGAATATGGACACGCGACTTGTGGCACCCGGCCGGAGACACAAGAAGTTCACTTCAACGCTTCAGCAAGTGTCCGGCAGAGCTTGCTGTGCACTGAAACGTTGATGGGGCTGTAGCACAGCACTCGGAGACAGAAGCGAAAAGAAGAGCGTCTCGTGTGGCGCCTTGTGCACGAAAGAACTGTGTGTAACGTCTTGAAAACGGTGCCACCGTCGAGAGATCTTACCTCCCCGAGACTAACGACCACCGGCTGAAGCGACCGATTCTTTTCAGCCGCCTTGACAGCCTGTTGGCTCGATCAGTCCATTCACCGGTCGCCGTCCCGTTGGGTGGGTGGTAAATTGAGTGAAAAAGCAATGACAGAGAGACAGCGAAGACGTCTGCATGTGTCAGGCATCAGGAGTACGTAGGAAAGGCTTTATTCACCTACACATGGGTGCTTTGGTTTCCTCGTAAGGTGAGGAGGTATGGCCAATCACAAAGCCATGCCTTCCTACGTAGATATCACCTTCCTTCGTTTCTCCTGAGATCGTTTTTTTTTGCTCACCTTGCGCAGTTCTCCTATCTCCGTCTCAGCTTCGGCGAGCTTTGCCTGAGAGAGCTGCAGACGCTGCCGTAGCTGCTTTTCGCATCGCTCGCGGACTGCCATTGACTGCAGACTGTGTGCCGCGGACTCGCTGAGAGATGTAGGGAAGGAGGGGCAGGAGAGGGGTTGGGGGAGTGGAATGAGCACGACGATAAGGAGGTGTAACAGCGGGTGACAGTGTAGCGGCATGGGTAGTGGTGTCCAGGGGCTCCAAACACGAGTGAGTTGCTGCGTTCACAGTGGTGGTCAACATCAACAGCTCTACTTCCCATCACCAAATCTTGGACCATCGTCTATCTGTAGTGAGTATGTGCTGCGCACTCTCGCTATGAAAAAAATAAAGGCAGAATCGAGGGTGACCTTAACGCCGACGTCAGTCCCCCCTCTTTCTCTTCCTGGGCGTCCGCGCGTTCTCGCAGGGCTTCTGCAGCTTCCGCCGCTGCTTCAGCCGCTTCACGGGCAGCTCTCGCCGCGTCAGCACGCTCCTTTCCTAGCACTCTTTCCACTTCACGCAGAGAGATCTTGGCGTTTCGCGTCTCGAGTAATGCCTTTTCCGTAGCTGATGCTTGCTGGTTGTATCGTCTTTCCCATCTGGCTGTGACAAGGTTGGTCAGGGGGGGGGGGGGGGG